TGCCCAACAAATCTGTAGTCTCAAAAACATTTGTTCTAGGAGTGTCCATTGCCCATAAACCACGCTGCAACTGTAACTATTCTGCATTTTCACTTACTGCTGTCCTGATCAGTATTAGCATGACTTAGATTCATATCCAGGTTAGTCTAACTCTCTAATTTCAAAGTTAATTCTTTAAAACCTTTAAAGTTCTGCTATACTTAGTTTAAAAACTAACAACACTCATGTCCTCTACCACTCACCTCCATCTCATTTTCCTTTTTTTTTCCTTTACAGTTTTAAGTGATAAAAAAGGAGTAGTAAAAACTGGCAGCACCAATGCAGATTTCCTGGGTTTTCCCATATTTATGTGTTTTTATAGCTTAAAAATGTTAAACAACTTTTGTATCTGCTAGAGAGACAAACATTTCAGCAATAAAACAGTTAGTGAAGTGGGCATTCTCTCTCATTACAGAATGCAACCTGTTGTGGTACATAAACCTGAGGAGTTTTCTCCATAGTTTCCCAGTGTTGCTTGGTATTTCTTATACATGTTTTTTTAGCAATTGTTATTCTGGGTTATTTTTATACTCTGTTTCCTGTGCAAATATAATGAAGAAAACTGAAGAATTCTGTTTAAGCAGCATTTACTCTTCAGTGTAGATGGGTGATGCAATCACAGAATGACACAATGTTCGGGGTTGGAAGGCACCCCTGGAGACCATTGAGTCCAACCCGCCTGCCAGAGCAGGACCATCACAGAATCTAGGACAGGTCATACAGAAATGCATCCACATGGATCTTGAAAGTCTCCAGAGAAGGAGACTCCACTACCTCTTTGGGAAGCCTGTTCCAGTTCTCAATAATTCTTGCAGTAAAGAAGTTTTTCCTCATGTTGAGGTAGAACTTCCTGTGTTCTAGTTTGCATCCATTGGCCCTTGTCCTATCACAGGGCATGACTGAAAATAGATTGTCCCCTCCTTCTTGACCTTCACCCTTCAGATATTTATATACATTAACGAGATCCCCTCTCAGTCTTCTCTAAACAGCCCCAGGTCTCTCAGGTTTTTCTCGTAAAAGATGTGTTCCGTTCCCTTAACCCGTAATCATTCTCATAGCCCACTGTTGGACTCTCTCAAGTAAATCCCTGTCTCTCTTGAACTGGGGAGCCCAGAACTGGGCACAATACTCCAGATGTGGTCTCACTAGGGCAGAGTAGAGGTGGAGGATGACCTCCCTCCACCTGCTGGAAACACTTTTCTTAATGCACCCCAGGATACCATTGACCTTTTTGGCCACATTGCTGTCCCATAGGTATTGTCTACTGGGACTCCAAGGTCCTTCTCCACGGAGCTGCTTTCTAGCAGGTCAGCTCCTGATCTGTACTGGTGCATGCTTTTATTCCTCCCAGGTGCGTGACTCTGAACTTATCCTTGTTGAACCTCATTAGGTTCCTCTTTGCCCAGCTCTCCAGCTCTCTTGCTGAATGGCTCCACAGCCTTTAGGTGAAACAGCCAATCCTCCCAGCTTCGTGCCATCAGCAAGGTCGCTGAGGGTACACTCTGTTCCCTCATCCAGGTCATTGATGAAGATGTTAAAGGCTGGACCCAGCATTGATCCCTGGGGAACTTCACTGGTTACAAGTCTTCAGCTGGACTCTGCACCATTGATCACTGTGGGGAAGAAAAGAGCAGTTTCCCACATCTACTGTCTTAACTACACCTTAATTGCTACCATTCTTCAGCTCTGAGTTTACAGTTGTATCAGTCCAGGGATTTCCATTTTCCTTAGGGATTCCTTGTGTTTTGTTTTTCCATATGGCTGCAAGTGTTAAAAACTTACTGAGAGTTTCCAAGTTAGACTTGTTGCCTATGATTAATGAGCTTTGCATGTTGATGCACAGGGTTGCCACTGCACTGCATAGTTTTAGTGTCTGTCTAAAAAATCTTTGTGGTCTGAGATGGGGATGGGTAGGAAAGCAACAGTTTTCCTCTATGGGTCTGCTGGGGTTTAGCTGAATTGAGTAATTTTGGGGTCTGCGTATAAATCAAGGAGGCACTGTACTAGCTGAGAAAAAACAGCATTTTAGTTCTCTGGTAATTGATTTCTGAATACACTTCTTCCTTCAAAATAATAGTTATATCTTTCTCCTTATCTGCCTTATCTGTGGAAATGATTGTATCTTGTGTGTTAGTTGACAGTAGTTAATTCTGAAAGCACTTATGTGACAGAAGGTAGCTTTACTGTTTCAGATCTCTCAGATAATGTACATCCATCTGTTCTTTAGCAAATGCATCGCCTCTTCGCATGTTGATGATTTCTGATGTAGCACTAGTTGTAATTAAATGTTGATAATGCATTTTACAGGCTTCTGGAAAAAAAACAAGTTGAGTTTATTTGTGCAAATACAAAATAAAACTGCAATAACTTATGACTTAAGCCAATTTTGTGAATTGATGGTCACTACAAAAATGCAGGAATAATTAAAAGTGCATAACAGTACTAGTGTGTGTTCAGTTTTTTAATTGGCTGAAATTTTATTTGGATATATTAGTAGAAACTAGTGTTATTTTTGTCACTTTAGCATTTAGCAAAATTATGCATTTTATTACTGAAGTATTTCAATGCTGACCTTTCATGTTGGTTGCCTATAAATACAAATTGAAAGTATGTTTTAAATTTGAAGTTTTCTCAAAGAAGTCTTAAACCAATAATTGAGGCAGATATTTGAATTAATGCCTGTTGGTTCTGGAAAAATGATTAGAATTTTGGTGCTTCATTCTTAGCTATACAGAAGATCATTGGTGGAAGCAAAAATTGATAGATTGTGAAGATGTGAATCTTGTTTGGTGGTTTGGTTTTTTGATTGTTTTGGTTGGGGTTTTTTGTTGATTTTTTGTTTTGTTTTTTGTGGGGTTGTTTTGATTGCTGATTTTTATATGATTTAATGCTTTTTAAAAATCAAAATATTTTATCTCTCAATGAGAAAATAAGATGTAATGTTGTCATGTTCATACTGCCTAAAGTATGTAGCAAGCCCGATAAATAGGTTGTACTAACCTCAGATAATACGTGCGACCAAATTGGACTTCCGATGGTGTTATTAAACATCACTTTCAATATGCTAAGATTTCTGGGCTTTGGGGAAAAATGTGAAAACATTTCTCTTAGATGCCATGAAGAGTGCACTCTTTCTTGAGTGTTACTTACTACATGTAGAAAATGAAACACATTCACTTTTATGCCATGTGCACTCAAGATTGGAGTAATTAGCTTTGGGTTTGTGTTATGTGTACCTCAGTGCCCTGAAGTTGGTTGGTTTTTTTCCCTGTTGGTAAAAACAAGAGTCAGCACAGCTTCTGCTTGCTTCCATTGTGACCTTGCCTTGACATGTGGAGCTTGCTTGTCTTTTAGTATTAGCTTCTCCTTCACTGGTGGGATCTCATTGCGAGGAGACACTTTCTTTGGAACACATCTTTCAGCTTTTGAGCTCATAAGGTTTTATTTCGGGGCAACTGTCATCTGGGTAGATGTGTGGAAACTTGAGAACCAAATCTTTGGGATGTAAGAAATATTTCTGTGAGGAAGGGGGGACAGCTGTGCAGAATCCCATGTAGAAATCCTTCTCAATTCAGGACTTGAAAAACATCTCTGAATGTGTTTCTGTGGCATTTATGGTGCAGCACAATGGTAATCACCTTAAAGCAATGGTTTCTGGTACTTTCTTCACTCCTTACCAATAAGTTGAATGTTTTTACAAATGTCATGGAGCAAAGTTGGGATTTACCAGTCCCTCACTTCCATCATCCAAGACTCTAGTTTTATGTTTGGATTTTTTTTTTTTTTAACTATTGGAGAGGGGTTTCTTCCTGACATATTGAAGTACTCATGGCAACTTGCATCCTTTACTGCCTCTACTCCAAGGAGACTCAGCAGTCATGCCCTCTTCCAGTATTGTACTGTGCTTTCTGAATCGTGTCTCTTCCTGGGTAGCCTGCTGAGTGTGTGGTGTGATCTGTCGACACCTGAGGACAGGATAACAAAGCTAGTTATTTCTGTTTGCACACATTTTCAGGTGCAACTTGTGAATCTGACTACTTTTTGAGCTTATGACTGACCACCTAATCAACACATCACTTAAGTCTAGGGGAACTGGAGTCAGGATGTGACAGCCTGAAAGGTTGTGTAGCTGGAAATCTAGTACCAAATTTAAGATCTAGCTTGACTGTGTTATATCCCTCTGTTCGTGTATATTGCTTGCACGCGTGTCCAGTCAAATTTGTGGATAATTTGGAAACTGCATTAGCATTTTTCAATTTCTATTAATATGCATGTAAATTTGGCAATTCTTTAGCTTGTCAGAGTCTCAATTAACAATTCCTGTAGGTTCTTAGTGTTTGGAGAACTTGACTGCTAACAGTGATTTTTACTAGGCCAAGTATGTGCTGGTTTTGGACTGCCCCTGTCGCCAATTAACGACTTGAAAGTGATAAGTCTATATTCTTTAAGGATTGTTCTCTTTTTCATTTATAGAAGAGAAAAATTATATTAACAAGAAATTAAACTTTCAATTATACCTGAAAATATGCCTTCTTCTAAGGCAAAAGATCAGAAGCAGTTCATAGTTTGTGAGTAATATATTAAGTCTGTAATCAAATGAGAGGGAAAATATAATGCTACTTGAAAATTACCTTTGTCCAATTTTTAGCAAGTGGTATCACATACTTGAATATTAATGGTTCTTGTGGATTCTCTAGGAGGGCAAGTAGTTCTGAATTTTGCAGAACCTGGTGCTTACAGGAATGATGATCTCACTGACAGAAGAAATAACTCCTGATACAAAGTTGTCTGTAGTCTGGGTTTTTCTAGTTGTGAGTCAAATTTTTAATACTTTATCTAATTAAAAAAAAGTAACTTTTGTAATTCCCCACTTTTTCTTTTTATCTCCTTAGAATGTGAAAGCATTTGCATCTTCAGATAGCCTAGCCAAGGTCCAAGAAGTAGCAAGCTGGCTTTTGGAAATGAATCAGGATCTGCTCTCTGTGGGCAGCAAGAGGCGACGAACTGGTGGATCTCTTCGAGGTAATGCTTCCTCAAGCCAGGTGGATGAGGAGCAGATGAATCGGGTTGTAGAAGAGGAGGAGCAGCAGCAAAGACAACAAGAGGAACAGCACATTGGGAGGAATGGGGAGATAGGAGGAGAAGAACCTGGATTTGATGACAGGCATGAGTCTCAGGAGGAACATTTAGAAGAAAATAACAATAGACTTATTACAGTGGATGAAGAATCCACCTGTAACCAAGAGGAAGATGATGACGAACATGCTGGTGATCAAGAGGAGGAGGTGGAAGAGGAGGAGGAAATGGACCAGGAGAGTGATGATTTTGATCAGTCTGATGACAGCAGTAGAGAAGATGAACATGCTAACAGTAATAGTGTCATAAATTCCAATAGCCTCACGGACTTGCCCATTCACCAGTCATCACCATTCTACATAAAGACAAAGGTGAGAAACTACTTTTTTTGTGTTCTTAGTCTTTTTTAACTCTGTGTGTTGGAAGATGATTTGCATATTAAACTAAAGTTCTACAATGAAGCAAAAACTTCCTGAAGAGCTCATTATTAAGGATTTTTGCAGTCCACAAAAACTATACTGTTTTAACTGTTAATAGTGAAGTTGTTTGCATGCATTTGACATGAGCAAATACTCCTCCACGTTTTAAGGAATAGAGCTCTGATGACTATGTTCAAAAGATCAAAATGTTTCTTTGTAAATATTTTCACATGCTAACTCATACACTTAGTGAGAAGCTCTCGGCATTATTTATGATATTTTCCGCCTGAAAGCAGGCAAGAAGGAAGGTAAGCAATTGTGCAAATCTGGTTGTGGTGGGCTGACCCTGAGTAGATGCCAAGTGCTCACCAATGCAGTGCTGCTTCTCTCCTCCTTAGGTCAACAAGGGAAAGAAAATGTAAATGTTCCTGGGGCAGAGAGGGATCACTTAGCAATTACCATCACAAGCAAAACAAGCTTGCCTGGGGAAGTTAGGTTGTAACCAATCAATCAGAGTAGGGTAATGAGAAATAAAACCAAATCTTAAAACACGTTCCCCTACTCCTCCCTTCTCCATGGACTCAACTTCACTCCCAGTTTCTCTACCTTCTCCTCTCCAGTGGTGCAGGGAGATGGGGAATGGGGGTTGTGGTTAGTTCATCACATATTGTCTCTTTCGCTCCTTCCTCCTCAGGGGGGGGACTCCTTGCACTCTTCCCCTGCTCCAAAGTGAAGTTCATCCTACAGAAGGAGGAATTGTGTTAACTCTTAGCAGCATCAAAAATTGAAATAATAATGGAAGCGGTGATACTGACTAATAAAAATGAGGAGCAGGCAAGTGTTCCTGTGGAAGAATGTTGTTCCTAATCCTATGTACTGATTTATTTTTCTTAATCATTTATTGGTAGTGCTTAAAGTATCTCAACTAACATCTTTGATTTTTTGAAAAGCCATAATGTTTTCGCATGAGTTTTTAATAAATTATGTAATTGTCTATTGATAATTCTACTGTTCAAGGTACTGAAGTATATGCTTTCTAATTTAAGTGAATGCTGTAATTCAACTGGCTTTTTACAACTCAGATTCTTGCTTTTATTCCAGTACTTTTTCCTGGTAATAGTTTGACTTACTGAGTATGGTATAACAACTTGCATCCAGTGTGGACTGAATATTTAATGTCGGAAACTCTTGCACTCATAAGTAAATTTTAACTCTCTGAATTGGAAACTTTTTGAAGTGCTTTGTAAATAACCATACTCAAATTATGTACTGACATAGCAAAGCATAGTTTTCGAAGGTGGTCAGTTCTGAAGCTTTTTTTAGCATCTCCAATAATGAATGCAGGTTTATTCTTTGTGGTTGTTTTTTGTTTTTTTTTTGGTTGGTTTTTATAATTATTTTTTTTTAGGCTTATTTGACATAAACTGAATCTTCAAGCTGGTTTAGCCTGAAGAAAGTTGTCTGAAAGACTTTTGGGTAGATGCACAATTTCTGTCTGGCTTGATAGTTGGTTTGTTTCTGTGCAGTGCTGACTGTTTTTGTCTGTGCTCCAACCCCAGGCTGTGCTCCTGCAAGAACTGTTGGGGAGCAAGGTAGCAAACCACATTTGGGAATTGTTCTTGATTCATGGTGCAACTCTCTTTTAGGTATTTTTAAGTATGCACTTGAAGGATCAGCACCAGTAGAAAGCTGGCTGAGCTGGCACTGCTGCAGTGGTTGCACAGTAAGACTGACGTAATGCAACATTAATGTTGCCAGTTCATTAATAAACCAAAATTTAAATGTAGCAACACATTCTGTGTTAAGAAACATTGTAGAAATAATGGCTGTGCTGAAGGATGAATGAAATGCCAGGGTAAAAATAAACATGACTAATTAGTATGCTGTGTTTAAGAAGAAAAAGGAGTGTTTGTAGACTCATCAGCTGTATTTACAAGTGATTTCCGGTTCCACCTGTTAAAGATAGACTCATTCTAGAAGTCTCAAACCTGAAACACTTATTTTTAGCTTTTCAGATGTGCTTCACAGCATTTGTAGTCTAGTCTGGTTCTCTTCATCACTCTGGCTAAATTACCTGCTCCCTTGTTGTGTAGCTGCACTCCTGTGAAACTTGCTTTGCACCAGCAGTGCTGGCTGTGATGGCTGAACCCAATGCTTACTGTTTGTGCATCAGATGTAAACCTGGCTCCTCAGAAGCAGGCATTCTTCACCTAACACAGCTGCTAGCTTGGTCTGGTTGTACTAGCAATATTGGCAACATGCAGTTTTCATGACTACCACATACCAAGAGATAATAGTGAGACAATAAAATAGCAACTGCTAAAGCCATAGATGTAATTGTGCAGCTCATCTCAACCTTTTGATATCTCTGTTCTTTGTCCTTCTGCTTTTTATTCCTTTCCTCATAAACTACTGAATAAAGTTTCTTTCTATTTGCGCCTTTATTTTGTTTATTGGCCTGGTGGCATCCTGTGCAGTTAAGGAAGGAAATGGCAAGGTTCCCTTTAAACAATGTGTCCTGCTTGCTTTTGCCACCTGTCACTTAGACTTCCACTAGACAGAAGCAAACTCGCTGTGTTCTACATGATCGACTTCACCAGAAGCATAAACAGCATTATATTTAGATATAAATACATTTTTTATATATTCATGTTTTAGGTGATATTTGTGTAGTGTATATCAAATTATATAAATATATTTGCCTCGTATTTCTGCTCCATGCAAACAACTGAGATAATTGTTGCCATCATGTTGTGAAAATGTTATGATTAAAGGGCACGTGCACTTGAAATGAGAAGACTGGTGGTTCAGTAGAGTCTTTGTTGCATTCGCCAGCAACACCCAGGAATTGGAAGGGTCCCTGTGGTTACCTGTTGTGATTTCTTGCATTAAATGTTAGGCTGCTCTGTATTCTGCGCAATCCAATGTGAATTTTTAGAAAAATGTCACCATTTGAAAACAGGAAACAGTCCAGCAAGGTAAATCTACCTTAAATCTAGGTTAATAGTTTGTTAGCCAACAATGGTGTTCAACGGCTGCACCTTTATTCTACTTTGCCTGCTTCCTGTTTTCTATCTTCTTTGACCATTACAATTCATTGTTTTTCTGTTGTACTAAAGAGCTGTTTAACAAGGTTGTTTTTTTTTTCCACACACATGAAGTGATGAAGTTCACTCCTGAAAGGTCTCTGAAATGTAAAGAATAAGGTCACTGTGTCCCTGATGGGTGTAAACTTCTGGTTTTTGTTCTTGTTACTATACATCCCTGAACACTTTCTCTGATTTTTTGAACATCTATCTTGAATCAGAGATGTCAGAACTGGGATTAAAACTCGAGTAGTAATTGCACCAACGGCAATTAGCATTTGTTTGTGCTATTTACCTATTTATATAACAAATTATTCCATTAATACTTTTGACTGCAGCATTGCATTGTAATTTCCTGTTTGACTGATTTGTCTAACATGATGCAAGCCTTTCTCAGGGAGCCTTCTGTTTTCTGTGGCTTGTGTCCTTTATAGCTAGAGATAAGAACTGATACCTGGTTTTCTCACATCTCAAGTACCTTATCACATTGTTTACTGTTTTTTAACTTTTACTATGATTGATCTGTGTCCTATCAAATGTTGTAATATCTGTTATATAAAAATATTTAATAGCACAGGAGAGCAAAGTAAATAATACAGTTAGGGTGCTTACAGAAATGTGCTTGATGCTGATGCTTCACTGATTGCATCATATTTCTGGCATCCATCTCCAGTGCTCTCTGATGACTTTGCATTAGTGGAGTTCTTTAGGCATGATTGTGTAACAATTAACCACAACGGAAGCAAACACATCCATTTACTATGCATCACATATTTCATAGCAACTGCCCTTCAGTGCTTTTATCCCTCAGTACCTGTGCGATTCTGTAGCACTGCAAGGACAAGAATGTATCACTCGTAGTCACTGTCACTGAGGAAACAGCTAATATAAATTAACATTCTTGCCTATTTTGGGTTTGAATTGTCTGCCTCTGTTCATACTCTTGAAATTGTAGTATTAACAAATATGTCATGCCAGCAATATTTTATCTTTGTCAAAACTGGCTTTCATGAGATAGGTGATAAATCAGCATGTTTTTATGGAAAAATTGGCATCAACTCCTACTCTATGTCAACCATTGTGCCTGGGTTTCAACCTATGGTTATCCAGGTTGCACTCTGTTTCCTTTTCTATTTTTTTCTATATCCCATTAGGTTTATTTGAGAATTCGGAAACATTTTGTTTGTTCTAATTTTTGAAAATAATTTTAATAATGATATATATAGTCTTTATCTCATTCCATTTTTTGTCTTTTTGCTTGCTTAACTATCTCTACAATTCCCAGTTTCATAGTTTTAAAATATTAATTACTGTCTCCTTCAGTATACCTTCAATATGTCTGTTGTTTTTAACTGAAGCTTTCAGTTTCCATCAAGGTGAGTTATTTTGTTTATCTCTGTGAATGTTTCTCATTTGGAGGAGTATTGGCTTCTTGATTATCTTAGAAATTGTTTCTAAATTGTTGAAATAATTTTCAGATTGATTTAGCTTTGGTTTGGATTTGAAATATTTTGTGGAAGGGAGGAAAAAAAGTTACGATAACTTAAACTCAAGCTACCATGCATATAACTTTGTTCTATTTTTCTGTATCTAAAATTACAGTACATAACACTTTTGATATTATTTGTATCTAATGTCAAAGCCACCTCAGTTTGGAAGCAATCACTAAAAAAAATAAACCCATGAATTCCTGAGAAGCATTAGTTGCATTCATTCTAGTGCATATTGTCACAGATGTATATGATTGGGCAAAATAGCTACTTCATATCAGACTAGCACATGTGGGATCTCCGGAGACAGATATATATGTGTGTGTACGTGTGTGTATATATATACACACACATGCTCTAGATCAAATTGTAGTAC